GACCTCTGACATGTATATCAATTGTAAGTCGCTTTGGATAAAAGCTAAATGAATAAATGTAAATGTATTTCCAAACTACAACCCGAATTCCGGAAAAGTTGGGACGTTTTTTAAATTTGAATAAAATGAAAACTATAAGACTTTCAAATCACATGAGCCAATATTTTATTCACAATAGAACATAGATAACATAACAAATGTTTAAACGAATAAATTTTACACTTTTATCCACTAAATGAGCTCATTTCAAATTTGATGCCTGCTACAGGTCTCAAAATAGTTGGGACGGGGGCAACAAATGGTTGAAAAAGCAAGAAATTTAGAAAGGATTCAGGTGGGAGAACATCTAGCAACTAATTAAGTTAATTTATATCAGGTCTGTAACATGATTAGCTATAAAAGGGATGTCTTAGAGAGGTAGAGTCTCTCAGAAGTAAAGATGGGCAGAGGCTCTCCAATCTGTGAAAGAGTGCGTAAAAAGATTGTGGAACACTTTAAAAACAATGTTCCTCAACGTCAAATTGCAAAGGCTTTGCAAATCTCATCATCTACAGTGCACAACATCATCAAAAGATTCAGAGAAACTGGAGAAATCTCTGTGCGTAAGGGACAAGGACAAAGACCTTTATTGGATGCCCGTGGTCTTCGGGCCCTCAGACGACACTGCATCACTCATCGGCATGATTGTGTGAATGACATTACTAAATGGGCCCAAGAACACTTCCAGAAACCACTGTCGGTAAACACAATCCGCCGTGCCATCTCCAGATGCCAACTAAAGCTCTATCATGCTAAAAGGAAGCCATATGTGAACATGGTCCAGAAGCGCCGTCGTGTCCTGTGGGCCAAGGCTCATTTAAAATGGACTATTTCAAAGTGGAAAAGTATTCTATGGTCCGACGAGTCCAAATTTGACATTCTTGTTGGAAATCGCGGACGCCGTGTCCTCCGGGCAAAAGAAGAGGGAGACCTTCCATCGTGTTATCAGCGTTCAGTTCAAAAGCCAGCATCTCTGATGGTATGGGGATGCATAAGTGCATACGGTATGGGCAGCTTGCATGTTTTGGAAGTCACTATGAATGCTGAAAGCTATATAAAGGATTTAGAGCAACATATGCTCCCCTCCAGACGACGTCTATTTCAGGGAAGGCGTTGTGTATTTCAGCAGGACAATGCAAAACCACATACTGCAGCTATTACAACTGCATGGCTACATCGTAGAAGAGTCCGGGTGTTGAATTGGCCTGCCTGCAGTCCAGATCTTTCACCTATAGAGAACATTTGGCGCATCATTAAACGAAAAATGCGTCAAAGACGACCACGAACACTTCAGCAGCTGGAAACCTATATAAGGCAAGAATGGGACCAAATTCCAACACCAAAACTCCAGACACTCATAAACTCGATGCCCAGACGTCTTCAAACTGTTTTGAAAAGAAGAGGAGATGTTACACCATGGTAAACGTGCCCCCGTCCCAACTATGTTGAGACCTGTAGCAGGCATCAAATTTGAAATGAGCTCATTTAGTGGATAAAAGTGTAAAATTTATTCGTTTAAACATTTGTTATGTTATCTATGTTCTATTGTGAATAAAATATTGGCTCATGTGATTTGAAAGTCTTATAGTTTTCATTTTATTCAAATTTAAAAAACGTCCCAACTTTTCTGGAATTCGGGTTGTACAACTAAGTTTTTCAGTTGTATATTGAAAGGAAATCATTGCAATAGCAATAATCACTACCTCATTCCGTTGTTCAACGAACAGATAACATGTGCTGTTGCATTGCACATACGATCAAATGCTGTGCATTGAAGAATAACAAATGCAATAATAACCACACACCACAAATAACTATGCACTTTAAATGAAAGAAAAGAAATAACATAACATGTGCTTTCGCAGTGCAATTACAATGCATATAATCACTACCTCATGCCGTTGTCCAAAGAAGGGACAACATATGTGCTGTTGCTTAGCAGTGCCCACACGATCTAACGTTCTAACTTTGAGATTAAAAAATAACATGTGAGCTATGCACTTGTTGCATTGCAGTACAACAAGACTAACTTATTCCCGTAGTGAAAGAACTAACTCATTCCGTTGTCCAAGATAACATGTGCTGTTGCATTGCACATACATAAGAAAGAATGTGCTTTTGCGTTGCATTGCGTACTACAACTAAATTATTCACTTGTGTGTTGAAGAGAAATCAATGAATTAGCTGCTGCATTACAAATAGAACTACCTCATTCCGTTGTATAATGAAGAGATAAGTTGCATAGCATTATTCGAAGAATAACATTTACAAGTGTAAAAGAACTAACTCATTCCGATGACTCATTCAAGAGATATTATTTGTGCTGTTGCATTGTATTGCATAAAATATCTAACTCATTCCTCTGTGCAATGCTTTCCATTGCATTGCATATAATTTGTTAATTTGTGTATGAAGGAAAATTATTGCATTAGCTTTAAAAAAAAAAACACAACCCACAACATATTTGTTATGGCATTGCATACAAGCAACATTAATTTGTTTACTGACGAGAAAACCACATGAGCTGTTGCTTTACAATAACTAACTCATTCCGTTGTGCAACGAAGAGGTAACATATGTGCTCTTATTGCACTCCGACCAAATGTGCATGGAAGAATAACATTTGAGCTACGCACTTGTTGAAGATTCAGATTACATTCAAGAACTTATTCCGTAGTGCAATGAAGAGATAACAGTTTTACAGTTGCATTGCATTGCATAAAAGATTTTACTTATTCCTCTCTGCAATGAAATAACATATAAGCTAGATTTACATGTAGCTATATGTATAAATTGTTTTATACATGAACTAACTCATTCCAATGTGCAAGGAAAAGACAACACATACATACATAGTGTTTTCGCAATGGATTGAATACTTCAATTAACTATTTCAGTTGTGTTTTGAAGGGAAATCATTGCAAATCTATTGCATACAATGCATATAATCTCTACCTCATTCTATTGTTCAACGAAGAGATAACATGTGCTGTTGCATTGTACATATCCGATCAAGCGCTGTGCATTGTAGAATAACATATAAGATAGGCACATTGTTGCATTGCAATGCATTCAAGAACTAACTCATTCCGTAGTGCATTGAAGAGATAACATTTGTGCTTTACACTGCATTGCATAAAATATCTAACATCCTCTGTGCAATGAAAAAAATAGACGTGCTTTCGCGTTGCAGTGCATACATGATTGAACGTTGTGCATTGAAAAATAACATAAGCAATGTACTTGTTGCATTGCATAGCATAAAAGAGCTAACTTTTTCCTCTGTGACATGAAATAAGCATTGCATAAAAGATCTAACTTATTCATCTGTGCAATGAAAAGACAACACATACCATATGTTATTTCGCATTGCATAGCATAACACGATCAAACGTTGTGCATTGAAAAATAACATATAAGCTATGCAATTGTTGCATTGCATTGCATAAAAGATCTAACTTTCATCTGTGCAATGATATATGCTTTTGTATTTTCATTGTATTTCCAAACTACAACTAACATTTTTAGTTGTGTATTGAAAGGAAATATAGCGATTGCATTACAATTAATCACTACCTCATTCCGGTGCATTCCAATGCATTCAAGAACTAACTCATTCCATAGCGCTTTGAAGAGATAATAGCATTTGTTTTTCATTGCATTCAAAGATCTTGTTCCTCTGAGCAATGAAAAGAAAAGACTTAACATAACATTAATGCTTTCGCATTGCATTGCACACACGATCGTACGTTGTGCATTGAAAAATAACATATAAGCAATGCACCTGTTGCATTGCATAGCATAAAGGATCTATTTTTTTCCTCTGTGACATGACATTTGCATTGCATAAAAGATCTAACTTATTCATCTGTGCAATGAAAAGACAACACATACCATATGTGCTTTTGCATTGCACACATGATCTATCATTGTGCATTGAAAAAAAAACATATAAGCTATGCAATTGTTGCATTGCATAGCATAAAAGATCTAACTTTTTCCTCTGTGCCATGACGTGCTTTTTCAACTACAACTAACTTTTTCAGTTGTATATTAAAAGTAAATAATTGCAATAGCTATTGCGTTACAATTAATCACTACCTCATTCCGATACCATTTTATAGTTTTATTGCATTGTACATACGATCAAATGCTGTGCATTGAATAATAGCATGCAAAAATAACCATATACCACAAAATAACTATGCACTTTGTTGCATTACAAAGCATTCAAGAATTAACTCATTTCGTAGTTGCATTGAAGAGATAATATTTGTGCTTTTCATTGCATTCATAAAAGATCTAACTTATTCCTCTGTGCAAAAGAAAAGACTAAACATAACATGTGTGCCTTCGCATTGCATTGCACAACACGATCTAACAATTGTTGCATTGCATAGCATAAAAGATCTAAGTTATTTAATTTAATTTTATAAGCTTTTTTTGTCATCAATGCTATTTCTTTAAACTCATTTGTTTCATTCTCCCCAACAGACAATATGGATGATGCGGTGCCGGCTGAAAATCCGTGTCAGACCTCTTCATGTGCAAATTTCAGCGTTCTGTGAACATTATCCTGATATAATAAAAACTTTCCCTGAAAACATTCCTAACAGTCACACAAAGCAGATTGCAGGGTTGTAAACACACATCATAAACACACCGAAACCAAGCACGGCCAAAAGGTCACACAAAACCACCTGTTGTCATAAAACCCTCCCCCATGCACATATCCTGTCATAAAACCCCCTCCCCATCCTCATAACCTGTCAAAACCATTGATCATTTTGACACATAGTATCCTATAGACTACTAGTGTCAAAATTAACTTTAGGAATATTCTAATAGGCTAATTTCCCTCTGAAATGAATGTAAAAATTTAGCTAATTGAAATGGCTTGAATATCAAGTACAAAATGTAGAGATAGATTTCTTTCTGAGTATTGTGGTCAATACTCTCAATTATAATTTCAAGACTTATTATATTTATTTTATTATTCATCAATATAAAGTGGTCTGAGTAAAAAAGCTAATTAATTATTTGCATTTTAAATGCTTTTACAGCATAAAAAAAATCAGAACTGTCAACAGTTTAATCTCGGCCAACATTGTGTGTCTCTGTGGGTCGGTCGATTCGGTATAAGAGCTCAGCAGGGAGGAAGTATCCCAGGTACTCCACTGTGTTTGGGGTGGTATCTGTGTAGTAATGGCCCCCCTCACCATGGTGACTGAAGCCATGGGTATGCTCCACTCTCAGGTCAAGACCCTGTGAATTGTACAACAGAAATTAAATTGGGCACAACAAACTTTAGCTAATATGAAATATTTAGCAAAGATTCAAAATAATGTTGTCAGAAAAAAAGGAAGGTATGACATTGCTACTGGGTTGGTACTCACTGGGTCTCTGGACACCATGACAGTTTGAAAGATCAGTGGTGCACTGACTTCAAAATGCCTGAGCCAGTTATCGACGTCCTTATTGGTGTTTAGAGGGCAGGTAGAGAATTCACGTGGCTTAAAGACAGAGCAGTGAAATGTGTACGCAAGCATGTAAGGAACTAATTTATGTTGTAACATTTTCATTTTAAATTTAATCATAGTTCAAGTAGCTATATAAACTTCTATAGAGTTTAACAGTGACTGCTTTCACCAACAAAAAAAAGAAAAGAATCACAACATTACATTTGAAAACTACGGAGCCCCTAAAGGGACGTGGTGGTGGAAAAAAAATTAGGATGGGAGAAAATTTTTTTCAAATCTTTTTCTTTCCCTCGCAAAACTTTTGCGTTCCCCCGAGAAACTTTGCGTTCCCTCGCAAAACTTTTGCGTTCCCTCGCAAAGATATTTGCGTTCCCTCGCAAAGTTATTTGCGTTCCCACGCAAAAGTTTTGCGTTCCCTCGCAAAGATATTTGCGTTCCCACGCAAAACTTGTTGGCAGCTCGGACAGACACTTCGTGTTTAATGTCCCGCTGGTAGTGTTTCAGAGCTTCGTACGTTAATGGAGCGTTTCATAGTGTTTGAACTTGGACTCTCAAATATAAAGAAATGCGGTCAGTGCTTAACTCAAGGTGTTCAGTGAAGTTGGCTACACATAGGCTATTCGAACTTCCCGGATCAATATTCTTGAGCTAAACGTTGTTAAAACACAGACGACACCTATTTACAATCACAGTAACCTAGACAACGAGCTACAACCCAATTCTCCTCAAAACGAGCTTTATAAATGGATCTCTATGAGCAGGCGGCTGAGAGACAAGTCCGAAGGGACCATCTGCAAAGTGCAATATAACCCAAAAAACGACTACAGCATCAACTCATAGTCAAACATATAAAAAATAGTCATTAACTTCAATGTTACAAACCACCCAATTCAGTTTACACATCAATGGTAAACCCACTGGTCATACTGCACTGCTTCTGCACATTTTATATTATAAAACTTTTTTTTTAATAACTTCACTGTAACACACCAAATTTAGTTCACACATCACTGCTCTAATGTTGGTTATACAACACTTAGTTTGGGAAGTAATTGCACATAAAAAAATAAGTAGGCCTATTCTTTACACAAATTATATTGGTACTGTACGCAGCTAACATAATAGTTACAACAATAGCTTTTGCATTGTATTTGCTTACTGAATTTGATGGCATTACACTGTATAACAGTGTGAAGTAACTGAATATTTTTTCTAAAAAGGGTAAAGTTATTGGAACTGAATTTGGTGACAGTAGCCTACAGTGTATCACAGTGAAGCTATTGAATATGTTAAATAATATAAAATGTGCAGAAGGGTGGGAACGCAAATAACTTTGCGAGGGAACGCAAACATTTTGCGTGGGAACGCAAATATCTTTGCGAGGGAATGCAAAAGTTTTGCGAGGGAACGCAAAGTTTCTCGGGGGAACGCAAAAGTTTTGCGAGGGAACGCAAAAGATTTGAAAAAAAAAAAAATCTCCCATCCTAAAAATTTTTCCACCACCACGTCCCTTTAGGGGCTCCGTAGAAACGCTCCATTAACGTACGGAGCTCTGAAACACTGCCAGAGGGACATTAAACAGGTAGTGTCTGTCCGAGCTGCCAAGAGGTTTTGCGTGGGAACGCAAATATCTTTGCGAGGGAACGCAAAACTTTTGCGTGGGAACGCAAATAACTTTGCGAGGGAACGCAAACATTTTGCGTGGGAACGCAAATATCTTTGCGAGGGAACGCAAAAGTTTTGCGAGGGAAAGCAAAGTTTCTCGGGGGAATGCAAAAGTTTTGCGAGGGAACGCAAAAGATTTTGAAAAAAAAAAATCTCCCATTCTAAAAAAATTTTCACCACCACGTCCCTTTAGGGGCTCCGTAGAAAACAGACTATTACACTACCATTCAAAAGTTTGGGATCAGTAAGATTTTTTTTAAAAATGTTTTTGAAAGGTCTGCTCACTAAAGCAGCATTAATTTGATAAAAAAAAAAGCCCTCTCTGGTTGTTGTTTGTCTTCTCGTGTTTGGAGAATGAATGTGTTACTCTTTCTTATCAGAATTTAATTTGTTTCTATTTTGTACAGTTTATCTCCAAAAAATATTTTTTCTTTTTTTCACTTTTCTTGAGATCAACTCCACGGAAGGAATTTCTGCATCTAATCTTTTGGAAACGCTCAAAGCTTATTTGCATGGAGATATAATTTCTCGTTCTGCTTATATCAAGAAGTTGCGTAATAAAAAGCTCTGTGAACTCTATGAACAGATTGGTAAATTGGACCAGAAATATGTACAACATCCAACAACTATAATGAAAAGGCTTTTTTTGTAATCTGAATATATCTTCTTTCTACTAGCCATGCTAAGCAGCTTACTTAAATCATGACACCGTTTCTATAAGTTTGGTGATAAGCCAGGTAAAGCACTTGCAATTATTTTTTACTCTTCTTTGTATCTGTCAAACTCCTTTAAATATTCTAATCTTGTTGACAATGTATTTATTTATTTTTTAAATCCAACATCCCTCAAATCAATAGTCAAATTTGATGATCCTATTAGTCTAACTAAAATTCTGAAAGCCATTATGCAGATACAGATCAGAAAATCCCTGCAGAGATTTTTTTCTCCTCAGGTTTCCCTACTGCTTCTCTCAGTTTTTGAAGAATCCCTATAAGTCTACCTCTTTGCTTTTAAAACCTGATAAAAACCTCTCAAACTGTGGGTCTTATCCAATTTCCCTTAACATAGATGTGAAAATCCTGGCTAAGGTTCTCTTTCTAAGGTTAGAAACTGTTATTCAAGACTGGCTTTGTAAAAAACTGCAAAAAAAAAAAAAAAAAGATCCTTAGAAGGTTGATGAACAAGTTACACCTCGGCCCTGATCTCTCTCGGTGTGGAGAATGCTTTCGACTGTTGAGTTGGACTATTTATTTTATACGTTTAAAGAAAAATTGAGTTTGGGGATAAATTTGAGCAAATTTGTGAGTTTTTTCCAATTAACTCCACCGCAAGAGCTCTTCCAACATCAGCTTTCCCATTTAAATAAGCCTCAGACAGTTTCCGTTGCCTGGGAGTAAGTAACGAGTTTCATTTAGTTGAAAATTGGACATGAGGTAAACTTGTTCATCAACCTTCTAAGGATTAAAAAAGCTTCTTTTTTTTGCAGTTTTTTACAAAGCCAATCTTGAATAACAGTTTCTAACCTTAGAAAGAGAACCTTAGCCAGGATTTTCACATCTATGTTAAGGGAAATTGGATAAGACCCACAGTTTGGTTTTTTTTTATCAGGTTTTAAAAGCAAAGAAGTAGACTTATAGGGATTCTCTAGTTGTATTTACCACTGGGAAGGTTAGGGATAATTTGATACCCAAGTTCCCAAGTTGGGTGGGCCAAGCTTATATTTTTTGGCTTTTCCCAGCATTGGCCTATTTCTGAACATCAATTTTCAAGTCAATTTCTGACACATTTATTTTAGATGTTAAACTGTGCCCCTTATGGACCTATTTGGTCTTAATCCTACAAATGTTTCATTGTCATCCTTACAGTCAAATGCTCTAGTCTTTTGCTTGATAACTGCTAAAAGGCTTATACTAATGAACAAGAACTATCCCTCCCCACCCAGCTATTTTCATTGGTCGTGCAGACCTCTTGCAGTTTTGCAGTTTATTAAAATAGGGAAAAAAATAGATGTACAAAACTTGGCAACACAGAACAATTTTACGCAATCTGGCAACCATTTTTTTCATGCTTAAATAAAAGATAATATTTCAGTATGTAACCCTTCCCATAGCCGCTGATTTAGGTTTCCGATGGTGGGTGCCCTATGGAGCTAGAAATGAGTCTTTAGTATATGCGAGAAAATAAATGATCTGAGAGAATAAAAAAAAGTTTGAGAGAAAAAGTTATCACACTGATAGCAAAAAAGCATTTCACCAGAGAAAAAAGAATATTTGAGAGAAAGTTTTCATATCAATAGCAAAAAATAATATTTGAGACTAAAAAAAAGTTGAGAAAGTATTTTCTCATAGAACATAAAAAAATATTAATTTAATTTTTTTTTAATTATTTCTGAGAAAAAAAATCTCTCTCAAAATACTTTGAAAAAAATCTTAAATATATATTTTTTGCTATCAGTGTGAAAACATTTTCTTTAAAAAAAAAGTGTTTTTTTTCTTTAAAAAATATAAAAGTGAAAAAAAAACATTCCTATTGGCCAGTCGGGTGAGCATCGTCTTGTCTTGGGAGTCGAACTGAATCATTACACCATTGTTCGGTTCACCTAGATAGATGCCTCCTCTGCCTTTAGATTCTCTGTCCGAGCCCGAGGTCGGGCCGATATTTCCCGTCACTATCCTCGGGCCGGGCCGGGCCGGGCCGGGCCGGGCCGGGCCTTTGATCTAGAGACGTGCACTCCCAACGCAAAAGAGTGCGGCGCGGGACTAGATTTGATGGCCGAGTGCGAGTGCGAGCGCGGGCGCGGGCTGTAATGCACTCACTGAGGGTTCAGGGAGAATAAAACGATCCGTGGGACTCCAGCAAACTAGAAATATCTATGAATAAAACATAAAACGAATACATTTTTATTCATCTGTTGCAGAAAAGCAACAAGAACAACTAAAACAAAATACAAATGATTTACAGGCCAGAGTTTCGTTTTATAACATGTTTGCAGCGTTGAGCGATGTACAGAGATGTGTGAGATCGCGATGAACTGATGTCAGCTTTAGGAATTTTTAAGCGCACTTTGCGCGCATTCAGTCATGCCAAACAATGCACACAGTAGCCTGCTTGATTTTATGTTATAACAGTGGTTTGTGTGTTAATGCTTTAATAACAAATAATTTATCAGGAGCAAAATGCTGATGTGTATGATGGCGACACGTAGGCTAACTTGAAAGTATTTGGAGGTGCAGAACAGAGGAGGAGGAGAAAGTAACATGGAAAGTAGTTGAGAACGTCAGTTATAACGACCCACGTATTAAAATGGTCGGTTTAAATCGGGCTCATAATTATAGTTAATGTGTCGGGCCGGGCTCGGACACAACGGG